GAAAACCAGGTCTTCAAGAGTCAAGGGGATGAATCCTTTTAGAGTTTTTATCTACACTATGAGTCCTACCTATGAGCAGAGTATGAGCTCAAACAGAGGGTATCAGTTGGTGAGGTTCCCTCGTTAGTGGAAAGCTCTTTGAAATTTTTTCCCGCCGTATTTATTAATACGTATATATTAACTAAACGTCTGTGGGTCTGTAAACTATTTTATTCTTAACTACTGAGGATGATATGTTAACATATCGAGACGTTTAGTTAATATATATTTATTAATGAATACAAAGGGAAAAAAGTTCAAAAACCTTTCAGTTGGATCTTCCAATTGTTTTTCGCATTGCAACAATAAAAGCTATTTGGTCTAAAAAAAATTTTCGGAAAAAGACTTTTGTCTCCTGTGACTGTATCGCGTTTTTCACAAAATCGGGTTTTGCAAAAATGTATAATAAAACAACAAAAACGGCGAGTTTTTTCATAAATCGATTCACTAGATGTTCTTACACTGTATCTCTTAAGTTATTTTCTAGTTTACATCAATATTCATGGCACCGTCTATAGCAAAAGGTGGAATAGTATCAGCATTTGTAATGGTAAGATGAATAACATCCGGAACTTATGAATACACACGTTGAAATGATTGATCTAAAAGTTTTACTTCAGCATAGATCCGTTGATAATTTCTAGAATTATCAATAAGTTTTACAGTCACTTGTGTCAAACGTGGACATTTATTATTTTGTTGCTGGTTCGAAAGAGAAAAAAATGACACCTAGTTTTCATTGTAAACGGAACAACTACAAGAAAAAAAAATTTCTCATGTGCTTTTCGCGTTCTATACAAAAGACTTTTTTCTAATATAAAACGTGCATGTACCTTTAGTCATAAACAGAGTAGTTAAAATAAATGGCAGGCGAACAACAACCAAATTTTGAAGATTTTCTGGTCGCTTGGCTTGACACAAATATTGAGAAGCCTGATACTCTTTGTGATAGAAAAACACAGTTAAGCAGTATCATTAATCGAGTGAAACAGTTCGACAATCCAGTCGACTGTATCAATTATATTTCAACCATAGATGAAGAGCAAATATTTTTAATCACGTCTGGAGCATTAGGCGAGACAACTGTACCACTTGTTCATGATTGTTCAAGCGTGGTGTGTATTTATATTTACTGCTCATACAAAGAAAAACATGAAAATTGGACAAAAAGATTTGCTAAAATACGTGAGGTTTGCGTGGACAGAGAAATTTTACTGAAAAGATTAATATCAGATGTTACTCTGTATTCTAAAGCATTATCAGCGCCAATAAGTTTATTTAAACATGAAGATCGAGAGTATTCTGTTCGAAATTTAAGTAAAGAAAGCGCCATGTTTATGTGGTTTCAACTATTATTTGATACATTACTTGACTCAAAACAAACAGAAGATTCAAAAAACGAAATGCTAACCATTTGTGAAGAGCAATACAAAGACAATGAAATTGAATTAATAAAGATATCAGAATTTCGACATCAATATAGTGCGGAGACTGCTATCAAATGGTACACACGCGATTGTTTTCTCTATCGTTTGTTGAATAAAGCTTTGCGTACACAAAATATTGACTTTATTTTCAGCTATCGATTCTTTATTATCGATTTATATAATGCATTACTGAAACTCTATTCATTACCGTCATCAGTTAAGGTAATCAACGTTTATCGAGGACAAATGATTGGCGTTGAAGAACTGCAGAAGCTTCAAGATAATGTCGGAGGATTCATTTCAATAAACACGTTTCTATCGACAACAAAAGATTGTGGCGTCGCATCGGATTTCAGTGGAAATGGTGGTGGACGTCCATTCTTTGAATCAATAGTATACGATATCCAGGTAGTTGAAGGTAACTCTACCACAAAACCATTTGCCGAGATTCAGAGTTTAAGTTACATAGAGGATGAAAGTGAAGTGTTGTTCAGTGTTGGTACAGTGTTCAAAATTGAATCGGTCGAACAAGTAACCGATAAACTTTGGTACGTGAAACTTATATTAAGCAGCGAGGGAAATGAACAATTGAAAGAAGTTACGCGATATTTAAGATCAGAAATCGACGAGAGACCAACGTTGATCACACTAGGGAACTTTTTGTCGGAAATGGGTGATTATGATCGAGCTGCAAAATACTACACGATGTTATTGCGAGAGTTGGAAGCAGGAAACAGTGAGGATGTTGGTGCTGTTCTATGCGCTATTGGATCACTATATTTTCGAAAAGGAGAATATAAACAATCACTCGAATATCATGAGAAAGCACTCGAGAAACTGGCTACTCTGCCTGAAGTACATCCCGATCTTGCAACTGCTTTCAACAGTATTGGGATGGTTTATTATGAACTAAATAAATTTGATGTGGCCATGATATACTACTTAAAGGCGTTGGAAGTTCATAAACGCGTATTGTCCGATACAAACGATCCGTTTATTTCGGCTGACTTGAACAACATTGCTCTGGTTCAGATTCAAACGGGACACATTCAAGAAGCACTAGAAAATTTGGAGAAAACATTACAAATGAGGCTGCTAATTTTACCTGCTGATCATCCACTATTATCGCATACTTATTTAAACATGGGTAGCCTTTACTCTAAGGTGAAAGATTATTCATCCGCTCTCAAAATGTATGACAATGCACTTAAAATACAATTAAAAACATTGCCATTAACACACCCGGATCTAGCAAAAACCTATGTGAATACTGCCCAAATATACTCCAGTCAGCGAGAATATAGCAAAGCTTTAGAACTGAATCAAAATGCTTTAGATATTCAACTGGCAATGACTCCATTGAACAATCGTGATCTCTCAAATACTTATAGAAACATGGCCATGGTTTATGTTAACACTGAAGATCAGCTATCAGCTCTACAAACATATTCGAAAGCACTACAATTGGAACAAACTTGTCAGCCAGTCGACATTGAAGTCGTGTCCGCTATCCATAACAATATCGGAACAATTTATTTTAAAAATAATGACAATGAAAGAGCATTGGAGCATTTCACCGACGCTCTAAATGTGCTACCATCAGATCATCCCAATCGTTTTATGACATTCAACAACATAGCCACTGTACATTTTAACAGCGGGAATTATCTGTTATCACTTGAATGTTATCAAAAAGTTATTGATTCACTCGACTTTCCACGGATAACAGGAGATCTGGCTACAATTTACAATAATGTGGGTCTCATCTATTTGATGACCGAACAAAACGACCTGGCTATTGAAAATTTTTTGAAAGTGTTAGAATCGAACAACCTCAGCACTGAAATGAAAGTAAAAACGTTTTGTAATATAGGCGAAGCTTTCATGGGAAAAGATGAAAGCGACTCAGCTCTGATCAATTACGAAAAGGCGCTCGAGCTCTCGCCTAATCACGAAAATGTAGCAAATATATATCAAAGTATGGGTGTTATTTATCACTGTCGAGAAGAATTTGAGAAAGCTTTGGTTAATTATCGTCGTGCTGTTGAAATCCAGCTGGCAACTGTTCCACCAAACAGTCAGGCAATATCTGTCGCCTATAGTAACATCGGAATGGCTTGTCAAGATAATGGTGACTACGTAGAAGCTTTGAGCAACTTTCAAAAGGTACTAGATGTTGAAATGAGTTCCGAATCGCCCGATGATGAAACAATAGAGACTATGAGGAGTTATACTGATGACATAAAATGCCGTTTAGAAAATAAGCAGTCAGAGTAAATGACTAATATTTTATATGCCGATTATAACTAGAACTATACTAACTGTAATATAGGTATTCCCACATATCACTTCGTCTTTCGTCGTACGTAGTAGTGATGAACAGCTTAAATAATTAATATTTCAAAGTACTAAAACTAACGTTGAATTGAACTTGAACATACATTTAACCTGTACTTATTTTGTGGCCTAATTCAGTAGAATATCGTTGCGCCGTTAGTGTAAACGGAATTTTAGGAATCGATTAAATCCGCTACCCTCGAGCTCACGCAACAAAATCCAGATATATCACAGGGCCAAGATGTATGATTTATTTCAAGTCAGCCGTTCGCAGCCGTGCCGCTTTCGAACCTTATTTCGAGAAAAAAAGCAGAGCCTGATTATAAAATCGAGATACTGCTTGTAATTGCCCAATGGTTTTGATTGATTTGAACATTAAACAGTGGAAGAAAATACGGTGTACTTAACACAATATTTTACTTTTTCATAGCCCCTTTTTCAAATAATCGAGTAATTAAGCTGAACATCGATCTTTATTAGCAGCTTTACTCGAATTTTAGTTAATTTATAATATTTGTTTCCATTTGTCTCTGACGGACTCAAACACAATGACTGAGTCTGATGCAGAAAATTGTTATTATGTATGTTTTGCCCGATCTATATTGGTATTGATATGTAGATCTCTTATTTTTTCTAAAAATAACGTCTTTCGTCGGTCCATTATCCGAAAAACCAGTTTCGTCACAATCGAAGATAGTTTATGGACAAATTGTATTCTTCAGAAATAGACTCTATATAAGTTATTTTAAACTAGTTATCTCTCAGACTTAGTTAATTTCGAACTGCGCATTAAAACTCCATGTACTTGGATGGACTGTCTTTTTTACTCCACAGTCCTCAGCTGTATCAATATCTGTAAGAAAAAGGTGTAACTTTTGTGAAACTATTTCTGAGGAATATCAATTAAATTCTTAGCATAATAGCGATTTTAAGTGTAAACATGGGAAAGTATCGATTATGGATTTGCACAAGAACGTTTTACCATCAAAAGATAAACAATCGGTTGGGAAATATTCAAATATGTTGAACTTTGACTCATTTCATAAAGTTTAGATGTTTACTAAGTAGAAAATGTTCGAATGACAAATATCAAATAGTAGTGTGCCCACTACGCGACTATGATTCATTGTTTGTTGTCCGTTTGCAAAGCACATAGTGAAGAGGTGAACAATAGACAGTCATTAGCAACTATCGCCTATCAAACCAAAATTGCGTGTGCATTCTGACTACAGCCTCAAAAACACTGATATTTTAGCATCTTTTATTGTTGCTTATACCTGGTTATGGGCTCGTAATAATTAATCATCGTATAGAGTATGTATTTTTTGATATTCGCCACACATGATGGTATGTTACCAACTCATTCATTTCGTACCAAATCTTTTATATGAACAGAACGTTAATATGAATAGAAATGTGTAGTTTGCAAATGTGATGCCATTGGATACATAAACAACTCATCATAAATAATTATTGTGAGTCAGTTTCAGTCAATTGAATCAGGACTTGTTGGAGCGGAATTTAGTAACAGATGCGAGGTGTGCATGTGGATGTAATAGTGAAGCAGTAGAACGCTTTTCTGCAATATGTCCTCTATACATACACAACGTGCGCTATTGATAAATGTTGCTTTTTTAAAATGCTTTTTTAGTGAAATGTCCTCAACTGAGTTCGCACCTACGTTTTCTGTACTCAGTGTAGTCAATTTACGCAAAGCTTCCTGAAGTTCCTTTTGTGCAGTATCATCAGCCGCTAATTTATTAGCCATAGTCAATGTTATTGGTGTTGTTGTAGCATCTAATGGCGAAGGGCATAGTTGGTGAACATTCGGATGTTTGTTGGTTGATGTAAAACTGGTGAAGTTATTTTGCAAATAAGGTGTGGGTTGTTCGTACGCTGAGACGTGTGTTAGTACTGACTTTACGCATGGAGGAGAACGAATTATTAAATGTTCGCCTGAATTTCTTGCACCAGGAAGGATTAGCGGTTGTTGTTGAACCTTCCGCCATTGTATGATCCATCAATTTATCTTTATTTAAACCATATAAATCTTAGAGTGTGTTTAAAGTGCAATTTACTGGACTTCTGATTGCAACATTCGTTAACGCATGTCGTAATAAAATCTTTTGTCGTTCCTCCACTTGGACATGGCGTAATTGCTGTTGGTGTTATATTATAGAAACATTTACGCGTGCATCACCGCTATTGTCATTAATTTCTACTTTTTTGATCCTGCATTAAGTATTTTATTGACACGACTTCTTTTCGCCGACATACTAATAGATTAAATTATAGGCGTAAATCAAATACAGGCTTAAACTTCTGAACACACCAACGAAAGTGATGAGAATCTAATTCGAAACCTTAAAATCTCTGTAGCAACTGCTTAGAACACAAATCATCATTGATGATGCCTAAAGGCGCTCACTTCGATTTCATCGATCATGAACTTGATTTAATCACTTCAATCCGAAATACAGTTTGTCTAATATCGTTCACTGAAGTATTAACGTTCTTCTTTCGCTTTGTAGATGTTTCTTGTAATTTAGATGTAGTACGGTATTTGTAAAATAATTCAATTCTAAAAGATGTAACTGTTTTTATATGTCATATTAACACATTCACTGCTGTATACCTTATATGATGCATTCGCGGCATAACATGTGGCGCAAATGAATGGCGATCTCAGTATTTTCTCTTTCTCGTGTTTCTTTAAGAGCCTAAGGTTAGTTTTTCCAAAAGATGTGTTACGAAATACTCTACAAACCATACTTAAACTTTACTTTCAGAACTTCAATCAAGAAAACTATACAAATTATATGAAAGACGAAAAAAAATGAAAATCTTTTAAATTTGGTATTTTTTTCAACTTGAACTTTTTTCTCCTGCTATTATTTCCGTAAAAAAGTGTAAGAAAAGTGAGAACGCAATTCTTTTTGTACTATTGAATGTGCTCGTTCTAGTAGTCTGGACGAAAACGTTTTTTAGAGCGCATGGTGTGCTGGAGAACGAAGTTATAAAAATACGTGAAAACTGACAGCCACGCGTTTCCAACAATGTGCCTAAGTAAAAAACGGAACGCATGATCGAAGTTTGATTTTGCAGTTAGGTAGAGAAGAGCAATCGTTTCTGATCAAAACAAAACAAGTCCGAACAAGCTTTTGGTTTAGTGGAGTTATGGGAGCTTACTGAAAGCATCACTATAACCAGAATTTAAAACATTGATGAAAAAATGCGTGACAATCGGCAGAAAAATGATTATTTTTCCATGGGTTTTGACGTGGGAAAATGTGAAGTGTAGCTAAAAGATAGAGCGAAGTCAGGGCTACATGATGGCTGATACAGGTTTGCTTAGTTTCAAAACGTTAACACAAGAAATCGTTTTTGACTGTAGAAAGTTTTCGTTTTTTTCGTCTTTCGTATAATTTGCATAGTTTTCTTGATTGAAGTTCTGAAAGTAAAATTTAAGTATGGTTTATAGAGTATTTCGCGGCGCATCTTTTAAAAAAAACTAACCTTAGGGTCCTAAAGAAAGACGAGGAAAATAGAAAGTACTGAGATCGCCATTCATTCTGCACCATCGGTTATATTTCAGTATGTGTGGTAGTGAAAATGTTAGATTTGAAAAGATGTATGCACTTCGTCTAAGATTTGAAAAAAAAGTGGTCGGGTCGATTTCGCTCTGTTGACCGATTGCAGTTAGCAGTTGTAATTAACTGATGTCATCTACTAGCGGTTTTTATTATTATGTTGATCGTTCAATCCGAAATGAAAATTTGATACAAAAGTTTGAAAAAAGTCGGTATTCTTTTAAAATCAAACATTAGTTTTCCACATCACGCGTATCATTCATCAAGGTTACTTTATGTGGTCGATAGCGTTTTGCTGATAATGCGGAAATTTTATTTTCCTTTAGATCTTTAATTAACATATCCATGAAATTCGTTTTATTATCTGTTGTTAATGTCGATGATGGTGGTTTTCTTGTAGTTATTGTTGGTACAAAATCTTGGTTATCCAGTACTGTGGCTGTTGCTGAAGAATGTGTTTGCTTTTCCTATATAAAAAGCAAAGCAAAACATGTTTCGACAGTTGTCCAACGTTTAATTCTCATACTTTATTCTCTAAATCAATATGATCAATTAATGTTTTAAATATAAGACAACATCTATCGTAATTAAATTCTGATAACTCGACTTCATCCCAAAATTGTTTTACTAAATCTAATTCATTTTCATTACATTTCATTGATAATTGATCAAATTCATCTATATTCACTAATGATGTCTAAAAACAACGAATACATTATTAATCAGAGATCTACACGGACGGGCTTTCGTTTCAAGCGTATCAGAACCAAAATTTTAGACTCGTCTCGTGCGGATCTCTAATTGTATTACGTAAGGAGGATTAGTGTCATTTAATAATATGCGGACCCGAATTTTAAAATTATTAGACCTATTCTGCGTATTTGAATTATTCGAGAAAAACATCAGTTATAAGCTGTGAAATATTATCGAATGACTCATCATCATGTCTTGTGGCCGGTTCCCCCGGCATATTCAGCGTTGAGAAGCTAAAGTTTTCTTCTTTCTCTTTTCATTACATATAGATGTGTATTTTAAGATAGAACCTCTGTATATGCACATACCATTGCTCATAAATTCCTCAAAACCGAGACAGGTTTGATTTGTGAACATCTACAATTTACATACTATCTAGATGTTTAGATATTCAGACATTCTGATATTCAAATGTTAGATATTTAGATATTAAGATCTTTAGCTCTTCTCACTCACTCTCATCTCTCCGCTCCCCTTCTCCTCTGCTCTCCAGAATATCTAGCATTTGAATACCAGAAGATCTAGATATTATGCAAATTGCAGATGTCCATAAATCAGACCTTACTGTCAAAACCCAAAGTAAGTCCTCAAGAGATCGAACAGACGGGATCTGCATATCGACATCTATGTAAGAAGAAGAGCTAATATTCGTACATCATAAAATTCTTTATATTGTTGCATCAACTCATTGTCTTTCAATGTTTGTAATTGTTCATAGCCTTGCTCGATCTTTTTCTTCATATCTGTATAATTATCTTGAACATCTTTCGATCTAGAATGTATGAACAATACAAATAGAGAGCAAAAAACACACAAATTAGTGTTTACTTTAAATCATGTGCTAGAATTTGTTTTATGTCCTCAACAAACTGTAGATGATCATCATCGAGCATAGTTAATAGAATATTCAATAGGTTTGTTGAATGTTGAATCGTTTTAATATCGCGTAATTGCTCAAGAAAGTCAATATGGAAACCAAATGCATCGCCACTATATGTGTCCTGAATAATAAATTGAATATTTTCATTTTGTCTTTTCGTTCATTGCCTTTTATATACGTACGTAATTTAAAAAGTTTCCAATTGCCAATAATAAACGAATAAATTCTTTAATGGATAAATTATGTTTTAAATAATCCATTGTATCCAATAATTGTTGAAATTTTTCTCTATAATCGCTTATAAATTCTTTAAAATCAACGATCAATAATTGTGTCTGAATACGAAATTCATAATGTTGAATTTTACTAATTGAATGGATAAAATGTTCAGCTGTCGACCACTGATCACACGTGTAATTATTAACAAGAGTAATCTTGAAATAAATAAAAATATTTTAACAATAATTCAGAAGTTAAAATGAGATAAAATATTACCTCTTCAGAGGTTGGTAATATTTTTGATAACATTCTTAAACATTCCACATTTGTCGATTTAGTATCCTAACAACAAATTGCTTGTGCTATCTCGTCGAAATCCATATTAAATTTTTTTAAAAATACATCAATATTAATTGAACGTGTACATGGTAATATTTGAATCTAAATGTTTCAAAAAAACGTCTATGAAATAACTTATTTTCACTGTTTTCGTGTTTATCTGTTTTACATGAGAAGAGACAATTTTATTTGTTTTGTCGCATTGTTTTGAATCATTGCTATCATCGATTTCAAAATATTTTTCAATTAATTTAAAGTCAATTTTTACATCATCACAATCGTTAATATCTGACCAGAAGTTACTTTTACCTATAAAATGATAAATAGTAAATATTTTTTATCAAAGACAAGAAGAGCGCATACTGAGAATTGTTTGTTGTAATTTTTTCCATGGTAATCGACGTACTTTTCCTTCAGGTCTGGGAATACTATCTAATAATTTCGATATTCCTGATGAATATATTCGTTGTTGCTCTAATACAGAGCCTGTTGTCACGTTGGCAGACAAAACTGATGGAGAACAGGATATATCACTCTTCATCGATGGCGCTTCTGGTACTGTCGGACTGGAAGATAATGCAGGAACTTGTTGCTCGGATATGATTGTTGCTGTCTGTTTTAAAGGTAGAGCTGGTAGCACCGAGTTGTTGCCTGCTAAACTTTCTGGCAGTGGCGGTGCATCAGGTGGTGAAGATATTATAGATGTATCAAGAGACGAAGATGGTATATCCTTTTCAAAGTTATTAATAATATTGTTGGTTTTAACAACAGAATTGAATGGTATATCGGTTTGTGTACTAGGCTCGTTTAATTTTATTATTATTTTATCAGACGATTTCTGAACATTAGATACGATTTGTTTTTCTCGATAATGCGTTATACAGTCCAGTACGTTTTGTAGTAGAGTTTGTCTAAAAGAAAGATGATATAAGTGTAAGGTACACACATCATTATTAAAAATGTACTTTTCGTCACTAGTACACGATGTGAATGTTGCATGTAATAATTGCATCGATGTCAGATATAGTGCTTTTTCATTTGAATCTGTTCGAAGCTAAAAATAAAATAAAGTTTTTTATCATAAACCCTATCAAAATGAATCTTGTGAACATTTTATCTCTTTCAAATCTTAAACGTTTGACAGAAAAATCCTACACACGAGATTTGAGGGCAACTTTTTCTCGAGTTTGTGCGAAACATCTTTTCCTGAAAATCTGTTCTAGACAACGGAGTAGTAATCACAAACCCTGTACTTAGCTGATATCATTCAAGATGAACGTTGTACATAAAACATGATCAGAAGTCTGAATTTAGCAAAATAGAAAACAAATAGAGCTATCATTGTTCTTAGCTTTACGGGTAACGCGTCCGGTTTTTCAAAAAACGTACATATCACTAAACTTACCCATCCTACAGACCATTCTCAAAGCGGTATACTGGATAATAGAAAAATGGAAACCAAAAACAAAAACAATCTTTTGATATAAGACGGATGTAGGTCTGAAAATCCTATCCTGCAAATCTCGGAATGGAATGAACTAGGACGAAAAACACCCTTAACTAATAATACATGGGAGACATGTTTTAATAAATATGTTTTTGAGGTTTGAGGCAAAATCAGTGGAGTGCGTTAAGTCTATATGAGCAGCTTAACTTGAAGGTTATATTGTTTGGCATGAACTTCAAAAGTACTATGTTCGAACTTTGATGCCACCAAGCGGTGTAGTAACCTTAAGAAAACAGCTGTCTGGCAACATACTCATTACATTGTGAAGTACATCATAGTCTGTTAGAGAGCTAGAATGCGGCTGCTTAGTGTACACTACAAGGGAACCTTTCCAAGTATCCCTCCGCTTTTCCTTTAAAACACACGATTATGGGTAATCTTGGATGTCGATTACGGATCTGATGTCTGTTTCAGCTGCTAGGCCTTTTTGCGGTAGGTCCAACGAACAAGTTTTCGCAAAGAGTGAAAAATTTTATTTTCTGATCCAGTAGGGAACCAAAATATTTCAGACTTTTAAACCCAAAAAATTGCTCTCTCTCTCTGTGAAAACTGGTTTGTTGGTTCTGAACATTTTCTCACATAGGTAATTCAATGTGCTCCACAATCTGGCAGTGCCAAAATATGTTCAGCTGAAAATTCATAGTGGATCTCTGAATATCCGGATTGCAGAGATCTACCCCAGAAAGGACTCTTCGTCTAGCTAACGCTCTGGCCGGAGCTGTAGTTTACTAATTGACAAAGAAGTGGATGACTAGCTTCGAAGATTATTGACTACAGATGCAGCATCGATCTACCTGAAACCAACAACTATGACTTACTTCATCGGTGATCATTTTATGGGTTTAAAAAAAGGGTCAGTTTTAAAATTTGTTAAGAGTTCAGAAACTGGATTGTAGATTCATACTTCTAACCATTACGAACAGAATTATATCAAATGTATCAACGTACAAAGCCAATCATTTCAAATCAATTAGTGCAACAATAAAAATTATATAGTATTCCAACCGTTGTATAAGACGCTTAAACTCTTACCAAATCGTGAATAACTACGAAATAGTGGGAGTTTTATAAGAAAAATATTGATCGTTACGAAATCATTAGAAATGAAGCAGTCATTCCAAAATAATTCTAAGTTGTCGAAAACCCAGCTAATCTAACTTTTGCTGGCAAATGTTTTAGAAAAGTCCATAGACTATCGACTGAAACAAATTTCTTTATAGCTCCGAAATTCATATTTAAATCATCGTTACAGAATCACCTTTTCGTGTTTTACACATAACTATGTTTTCGAAGTTCGATTTTCGCCCTCAAGGACGAGCAGGAATCAAATTAAAATGATATTATTGCGATCTTAAAACATTTCTCTATTCAATTATATGGTCAAAACCTAAAAACTATCAAACAAATAGAATAAAAAGCCAAATGATAACGATTTCTTTTCAAAACTTAAACGTAAACGGCGTTACATGGAATGGCCTCTCAGTGCCTTCCCGATACAGAAGAACAAATTCACAAGATAAACAATCAAGCAGAGACTGAACTAATTAGTATAGTCCACAATGCGCATAAACGACGCTGCATAAACCCAAAGAAACAAACATATTTATAATTACTATTAACCTCGAACCTTCGTTGCGAGTTAGAGTGAGCGACTAAACAATATTCATTTAACATCATTAAAAGTTTGAAAGATGTTCCCTACCCAAAAAGTCTCAAAAGAGGACAACAGAATTCTTGCTTTACTCAGCCATGTTATCGTGTCATTCACTCACTTGAAACTCGATCGCTCGACCAATAGCCAGTAGGTCATTTTGATCAAATTGCTTTAAATATTCTTCTTCATCATACTGTTTCTTTTCTAGAAAAATATCAATTTGAAAATTAAGATCAATATCGTTATAACGTCTTGCTCGTTCTAATGTTGATAAAAATCCATCCGCTATAAAATGAACAAGAGTGAAAAGACCAAAAACGTTTATAGTAATGAATCATTATTAAAACTCACACCTAATAAAATATTTCTGTAGTGCAAACGTTTGTCAATAAAATCCGTACAAGATAAAATATTATTTATTAAAGCTAATGCGGACCATTTATGTTTTGCCACTTCCGTATATTTTAATTGTTCAGTAATCACGGCAAATACATTCGAATATTTCTTTTCTGTCTAAAATAGCAATAAAAAAATGATGAATATACAACTATTTTGGTTGATTCAAATTATATATTATACAGTAAGAAGGATCTCATGTTCTATAAGTCGATCGAGATATGAGATCATACTAGCAGTAGTAAGAAGATAAAATATCTTATGAAGTTAATCCAGGGCTTGATATTTTGTAGATACTGATCGTCAACAGAATTTCGGTCGTGTAGCACCAAACGTTAGCCAGTTATGACATTGTTAAGTGAGCAAGATAAGGAAAAATAAATCGTGAGTTTTGTTTTTGATATGTCTCTTTTACTATTAATGCTAGAGAGCTAGTTCAAATGACATTCGAAAGAGCAGATATTTTTGACAGTTACATTATATAAAAAGAACTAATAGAGAAGACTGCTCAAATTTAATAAACAACGATTGATGATAAAAATGAAGAAAATTTGATTTCGCTTCTCTTTATGAAGAAATATGATTTCAAAGTGTTGTATACATAAAATGTTATTTCGAAAATGCTTGTTGATCTTTCATTCAAATACCAAGTAGACATTTTGTATTATAAATGTTGTAGTGTCTACATTGTTTCGCACATGTATTCTCACGTCGCAGTTTTTCTCGTAATACCGTCGGTAACCGACCGATTTATGGATTAGCAGTGGTTAACCTTACTGTTCGGTACAACGGCCAGTTTAGCGACGGTTTTTTCTTGCACCGTGGTCTGAAAAATACCGTGCAGTAACCGCCGGTAGAAGGACAAACCGTTGCTAAATCGTTTCGACATAATCACCTTTTTCTTTTACGGTTGGCAGTCTATATAAGAAACGCAGAAAAGTGAAAAAAACTTCGATTTTTTTTCACATTATAGGCACTTGTCAGTTTGCGCTTCGACTTGAGTCAAGGTTTTTTCCGTTTGGGTACCTCATTGCGCTGCATGTGTACTTCAAAAAAAAGAAAGCTGAGAACTAGATTCGAACTCCTGTACTGTTTGCTTATAGTGATAAAATACCGGTTGATACTACTGGTACAACGGGTTGGTATAGCGCGCGGTAATTTCAGTTCCACTGGTGGTATACTGAGGAATGTAACAAACAGGTACCGGAGTGGTAACCGGTCGGAATTTAACCGGTTTTCATGACATGGGTTGTACGTTTCCTCACAAAATTAAACCAAAATACATCATCTTACCTGATACAAAATATTTTATTGATACGCTGTGATTGATTTACGCTCATTCTTTTCTTGGTATTTTCAATCCGTCGAAGTTTATCATCAGAAATACCGATTTCTCGATTATCAAATTCTTCCGTGTCCTTACTTTGATCATCATCATTATCATTTTCATGACCAATATCAATATAACCCAATAGTTCTGCATAATCTAATAAAGTATCATAAAATCTTGTATTTTTTGTCAATTTTTCAATATAATCTTTGATATTAATATTATTTAAAATTAAACAGGCTTTAAACAATACTCTAGTGGCATGACAACATATCCTAATGTATTAATATCAAAGATTATATTGAAAAATTAACAAAAACTATAAGATTTTATGATATTTTATTAGATTATGCAGAACTATTGTTTTGATAATTAACATATTTTCGAGCGGTTTTCAACATAGTAAAACTCAGTCCAAAACACTGGTTTTGTGTCTCAAAAACAAATACGTTTCTGTACGTTTTCATAGCGTGTTTGAACTGCGTATAGAAAACTATTTACCAAATAAAAATGACATTTTATTCCAGTCAACTGCCAAGCAAGGATGTTTTTGTGGCATCCAATACTATTAATGTTACAAAAGAACGGTACATGCTTATTTAAAAAATAACATATCAGTAAAATCTATGCAAAATTCTCTATCTTTAGCATCTGAAACAAACTTTCTGGTCGAGTCTAACTTAAGGAAAAAGCCTATCAAAAAGTATCAATTTAATCTGGACCACCCATTATACCGTTATATATCCTCTATAGAATGAGATATCGCTCAACTCCCTAAGGCGCCCTTCCTTCTGGAGTTATGCATCTTTTAAGATTGGCTACTGGCGATCCTAATTCAACAAATTAGAGAAAAGATCTTTTCACAATTGGCGATGAAAAAACCCTCTATACTTGTGTTGAATAGTCAAACTTTTTTTAAACACTAATTCGTACAGAAAAATGTGTTTTTTTCAAAATAACGTCTGTTACATTTCTGTGAGCTTTCATTCCGTAAAAGAAGTCTGGGATACGACTCATTTTTCTCAAAGTTATTATTCTTAATTTAACTGTACCAGTTCTTTTTATATATAGTAGTGTTTAACAATATCTGCTCTTTCGATTAACATTTGAATTGACTTTGTAACATTAATCATAAAAGAGACATATCAAAAATATTTACCTCAAAATCACGTAATGCTTTTAGAACGAGATCATAGCCTTCGTGTGAATACACGCACAGTGCTGTTAATAGTTCGAATACACGCATACGAATTTCAGGCGATGGAATTGTTAATGCTAAAGCGAAAATCAATCAATCAAATGAACAGTGTGACATTCCGCAGAGATGTTCACTTACTTTTGACAATTCCATCGATATATTGATCATTATTGGCAATATGCTCAAATATTTCAGTTATATTCATTAATTTTCTAAGACATTGCAATGCTTCATTGAGAAGTATTACATCAATCAATGTCAATATTTTTGCTGTTGTACGATTGATATAGTCTAATAAAGCATTGAGACCGCCACTTCGAGTAAATTCAATCGTCCATTGACGATTTTGCATTAATTTTTTTTTCAATAAAATGCTTTTTGTAAATGAAAAATCATTAAAAATTAACAAAAATTCTTGTATATTATCATCAGACTTTAACAGTTGTTTTTCATTTTCTAATTTTTTCTTTCGATCACGTTCGATAATACGACGAATACTACGCTGAAATAATTCTATACCACGCACCGGTTTACTAACAATGATCGACTGTCGATTAAGAAAATTTCTAAGTGAATCATGGAAAAGAAGGATGAATGAACCAAATGTAGAGGATAATGATGATGGTGATGAATTATTCAACTCTTTTTGTTCCATATCTTCTTCTTCTTCTTGTAATGATGAATAGTTGGTCATCGTATCGTGCAATGAAGATCTAATAAAAAAATAAAAAACGACACTTTCAGAGAATAAATATACCCATTTACACATTAATTTATTCAAACAATTCACGAAAAGGTTATTTTTAATGCCAAGTACAAGATCCACAGATGTTATACTTATACGTGTAACACCAATACGTCAATGAAACAAAACAACGTTGCTTTTGAACCCCTTTCAAATCCTGTGCGTCTGAGAAACATTAATTCTGATCATCAAGTTATGCCCTTCAAATGAATGGAGTGTGAAGCTATAAAAGAACAGAAAAAGAACTGTATACAGTCACATTCTATAAACATTCCATTTGGTTCCTTCCATATTATAAATGATTAACAAGGACCTTTGTGTGAAAGAAACAATAACCGTTTGTTCCCCTATATAGTAGTTTTTTTTAAAAATGAGCCTTACTGCCGTTATTTTCTTGCTATTTTGCTCCTAGACACATGTATGTATTCTCTCTCTTTCTCTTTCTGTTTCTTTTTTCCTGTTCGTTACAGGTGATAAGAAAGAAAGACTTTTTAATTTCCATTGCGTATAATCTTATCACAGAAAGACAATAAATGAAGCAGAAGAGAAACGTTTGAAGTAATTTATTTTTTCGATTTATTCCATGATACATGAACGAGATTATAGCATTATAATGAGTAGCCTAGATGAGCTTTTATGTGTATCATATAACAACAGCTACTTTAATCGTTAATATGTGAACAAACACAATCTTTCCACTGGAGAAAATTTTAGAGGACGTGTGTAACATTTGCCTTTATTCTGCAAATCAACTGGGAGTCGTTTGAAGACCAGAGCTAATAGTCAGTGGACTGACTAACACAACATATGACTTTCATAGCTAGGAGATGGAGGCAATTACTAGATGTAAGGCATCGCGCGACGAGCTGAGATTTTCAGTAATTATATATTTTAACGAGACTTCTATTTTTCTTCTTCATTCTCTTAAAAAGAACCATTTTGAGACCCTTTCTTGAAAGACGACGCGTAGAGTCTCTTTGGACGCCAGTATGGCGACCAGTCATAAAAAAATGCCACACGCAACAGTTATGAAAACAGGTCATTATTCGTGCACGTCTCCATAGGAAAACCAATTTGCATCAAAATACTTTGAACCGCGATGTCATGATTTTGATTACAATAAACTTCTCCTATTATAAAACGCTTATTGTAAGAATAGCAGCTCTCCACACCCATTTTGAGAAAACAGTCAATGGCTATTGACTAGCCAAGAAATCTCTTAAGGAAGCGATTTTATTTCACTCAGTTCACTATAAGTCTAACGAATGCTCAAGAACGTAAATCAATTTTTTCTCGTTTACTTTCCATACAGTGACGGCTTTGTTTATCTTGTTTAGTCTTTTTTCGCGCTATCAAACTATATTATTATGTTTGGTTCTGCATACTGCCGCTTCCCATTAGAAAATTTGTTGCTTGCTCCGCGCTGAAACCAAATTGGGCGTCAGATGCAAAATTTATCGGTGAATCCGACAGCGGGTTCCTTATAATTACACCTTCACTTCTTTTTTGGCGTCGACATAATCAACGTGGCTTTTGCCTAAATTTTATTTTTCTCACTGATTGTAAAAAAGGCGCCAATGAGAAAAATAAAATTTAGGCAAAAACCACGTTGATTATGTCGACGCCAAAAAAGAAGTGAAGGTGTAATTATAAGGAACCCGCTGTCGGATTCACCGACAAATTTTGCATTTGGTGCCCAATTTTTTTCCAATTTGGTTCAGCGCGGAACAGGTACCAAATTTTCTAATGAATGGACAAGAAATTTGAACTATTTTCGAATTCTAAAATACGTATTAATGAACTCGCAACACTGTTCAAACAAATTACTGTTGCACTATGACTCACTTTTAAGTGTTCGTTCTCTCTCTCATATTTTTATTATTCACTGCAGTTATTGAATGCGTGGAGCAAGCACCAAATTTTCTAATGATACTAGTAAATCTATATAGATAACACCGATCTCTGCGTTAAAATTATAACTTGACCACAGTAGTCATGCAGACAAACATTGTCGTTATCACAGACGATTAGTTTCGGTGATATTTCAATTCGAAATTCAATAAATTTCATAGTGCATATTCGCTTAATTCTCAAATAATGTTCGTCATACTTAACACATTCACATGCCAGAACGACAATTTTAAGGTCACCGTTGCTTGAACACAAAATATTAATATTACTAACAAAATATTCTTGATCATTACGATACTCATAGTAGACTGGTGGAATACTCATAGTTAAATTCAGATAAACTATTTTTGATAAAAAATTTTACATTAATTTATTCGTCACACCTGAAATAAATAGATGTTCCCTAGTGCAAAAACTAAAAATAAAATATTATTCAAAATAAAATCTATTTTTCAGCTTGTAATCATAGGCTATGATCGAATAATACCATCGAAATACAACTTTTAGAATTCGGAACTTTTCTAACTTAACTCTTTTACCCTTACTTAAAATAATATTGATTAGCACGACGAGTCTTTACATTCTTTCACCCAGAAAAAATTTCGTGTCTTCAATATCCTCTATATGTTAGGAGAAAAACTATGACATCAGCTACCTATATGGCAAACAGTTGACTGAATTTCTGCAAGAAAGACTCTGGTACTTCTGCTGATTGATTAGACCCCCATTCTCACATTCCACACGAGCGAAAGCTCTTAAGATCGTCGCTTAGAAGACGAAAAGTTTTTATACGATTGTACAAAGAAGTTAAGAGATTAATCTCAACCTTCAGACAAGATCTTCAACTTACGATGCAAAATACCTTTTTTCACAAATCTGCCTTGACCAGAAGAAAACTAAGTAGA